AAGCAATGTTCCAATTTATTTACCTGTCGAAGCAGCTTCTTCCTAGCTTGTGGTTTCCAAGTTATAAAACATGCATTAGTTATATAAATATACTACTCTAATATAATTGGTTAAGTTTTTAAGACTTCCAAATCTTAAAAGTAAAGGGATTGATTTATTTTGGTGCTTATCTGAAGCTTATCATTATCTTTATTAGTTATTATCTTTGTTTAGATAGTTATCCCGTATTATTTGTTTTGGTAGTTAGCTTTGTTTCAGCACTATTTATTTTGTGTTTCCCTTGCCCCTGTAGTATGATTTTTCCGATCATAATGAAATAAAGTCATAAGCAACCTTTACTCTCACCAAATTCTTCATGGTATCAGAGCATTAGATCCGATTGGGTAATTAAATATCAGCCATGACCGGAGAAAAGGGAGATGGGAGCAAGAAACCTTAAGGTGGAGAGACGATTGATACCAATTCACCTTATTACATTCATGCATCAGACTACCCGAAACAAATGCAGGTTAATGATGTGTTGAATGATAATAACTACAATGAATGGAAGCAGGAGATGAGGAATTTTCTGCTTGCGAAAAACAAGATGGGACTGGTAGACGGTTCTGTTGAGAAACCAGAGGCATCATCGCCGATGCATACGACATGGATACGAGCAGATGCAATGATCAAGGGTTGGTTGACCACCGCCATGGAGAAGGAAATAAGAACAAGTGTCAGGTATGCAAATACTTCCTCAGAGATTTTGCAGGACCTTGAAGAACGGTTCGAGAAAGAAGGGGCACCTCAAGCATATGAGTTGAAACAATCGCTCAACGCTACTAGGCAAGATGGGAATTCAGTATCCAATTACTACACCAAACTTAGGTCCATTTGGGATGAATTGCAGATGGTCCTACCATCTCCACGATGCACCTGCGAAGGTTGCGATTGTGGGATTGGAAAAAAGCTGAACGAACTAAGGGAAAAAGAAAGGACTTACGAGTTTCTAATGGGTCTAGATGATGAATTCTCAGTCATCAGAACTCAGATTCTTGCAATGAAACCTACCCCTCCGATTGGTAGTGTTTATCACCTTCTAGCTGAAGACGAACAACAAAGGGCGCTATCCGGAGGAGTGAAAAGAACAAGCACTGAATCGTCGGCATTCCAGGAAAATTATAATCTGCAGCGTGGTTAACGACAAACTACAAACAAGACGACGGCGCAACCAACAGGCAAATCGACACATAAATTCGCCAAGTCAGAAAGCGATAAAAAGGTCAAGTGCTCTTTCTGTCACGCAGTGTGAAGGGCATAGCAAGGATGGATGTTTCAAGATAATCGGGTATCCCGAGTGGTGGCCCGGAAATAAAGAGAAGCCCAAAGCTGCTTGTGTCAAGTTGGGCCCGAGCCCGATTCCTGGACTCACTGATGAACAATACCATTTATTCGTCGAGCACTTCAAGGAAGTGTTAGACATGACAAACAATAACAAGCAGCCTATGGCAAACATGGCAGGTAGAAACGATATTTTTGATGGGTGGATTGTTGACTCGAGAGCTACCGAGCACATGACACACAGACTTGATTTCTTGTTCAACAAAACACAAAACTCCAAAAATTCACCTGTTGTCATTCCTAATGGAGATAAAGTGTCAGTCATGGGAGAGGGTGAACATACCTTGCCTGGAGGAGTCAATATTAAAGGAGTTTTGTTTGTACCAAACTTTAATTACAACTTTCTCTCGTTTGGAAAACTCGCATATGATTTCAATTGTGCAGTAACCTTTTTCCCTGGATTTTTTTGTCATGCAGGAGTTGGGGACGAAGCACTTGATTGGAGCGGGTAATCGGAGTGGATGGTTGTATCGGATGGGCGTAACAAATATGAAAACAAGCAAGGCTCTTATGTCAAAATTTGAAGTCTGGCACAAGAGACTTGGCCATCCATCAACCAAGAAAATTTCAAGTTTGACTTTTATCGATGTTACAAAAGAAAAACAGTTCAATAAATGTGATGCTTGCCTTAAAGAAAAACATACTAGGCTTCCATTTCCAGTTAGTGAAATAAAAACTTTTTCTTGTTTTGATTTAATACATTGTGACGTGTGGGGCAAATATAGAACGCCTTCTATTAGTAAAGCATCATATTTTTTTACTATTGTTGATGATTTTAGTAGAGTTGTTTGGACTTTTTTAATAAAACATAAACATGAGGCAAGTACCTGTCTCATTGATTTTCACAAAATGGTTCAAACACAATTTGGCAAACGAATTAAGTGGATAAGGTGTGACAATGGTGGGGAGTTTGTTTCCAATAGAATGCGTGATTTTTACTCTCGAGAAGGGATAGTCTTGGAAACTACATGTCCCCACACCCCACAACAAAATGGTGTGGTGGAACGCAAGTATAGACACTTACTTGAGACTGCACGTGCACTACGTTTCGAAGCTAACTTACCGAAGGTCTTTTGGGGTGAGTGCATCTTAATTGCCACCTACCTTATAAATCGAATGCCTACCAAGGTGCTTAAAGGAGTCACGCCATACGAGGTACTTTTTAATCAAAAACATGCATATGAACATATGAGAGTATTTGGGTGTTTGGTTTATTATCGAAAGACGGAAACACAAGGTGACAAATTTGAGGCTCCAGGTAAACCGAATTTATTTGTAGGGTACCCCCGGGAGTAAAAGGATATCAGGTGTATGACATGGAGAAAAGGAAAATAGTTATTTCTAGAGATATTCGGTTTCTAGAAGATACATTTCTTATGTCTTCTGATTTGGCTAGCAAAAGTGTAACGCAAGATGATATGTTTGTGCTTGAGGATAAATTGGAGACATCTAATACGGTGCATAATCACGAATCCGTACCACATGTGGAGCAAGGCAGTGATGTCATTGAGGATACTATGGTTGATCTTGGTGTGCCCCACGGGTCTGACTTCGAAAGTGTGCATATGACTCCCATGCACACGGAACCCTCTTCGCAACATTCTTCACCCATGCATGTAGACACGAATGACGACCAGATTCATAAAGCTCCTCGAGTACGAACTCAGACTTTAAGGTTCAATGATTATGAAGTCAACTTACCCCCGTCCGTCACTCATCCGCCATCCGCCTCCAATCATGTTGCATCTACGGTACATCCCCTCTCCGATTTTCTTTCTTATAAAATTTTTTCAAAGGCACACAAAGCTCTTTTAACAGCCATGGTTACACACTATGAGCCAAAATCCTTTAAGCATGCAGCAAAAGATGAAAGGTGACGTTTGGCAATGAAAAAGGAGATTAGTGCTTTGGAAGCAAATGATACTTGGGTTCTAGTTGCTCTTCCCCCTGGCAAGCATGCTATCGAATCCAAATGGGTTTTTAAAATCAAGTTTAAACCAAATGGCGAAGTAGAGCGATACAAAGCACGACTCGTCGCAAAAGGGTATACTCAAATGGAGGGTGTAGATTATCATGACACCTTTGCACCAGTCGCCAAGCTGGTCACTGTGAGGATTTTACTCACCATGACAGTCAAAAACAACTGGATCATACACCAGTTAGATGTAAACAACGCATTTCTGCATGGAGATTTGGAGGAAGAAGTCTATATGAAAATTCCTCAAGGCTTTTTGAAAAGAAGGCGATACAAGGGTTTGCAAGTTGAAGAAGTCCTTGTGTGGCTTGAAACAGGCAAGCCGGAATTGGTATCACAAATTCACTTCTGCCTTACGTGAGCTTAATTTCCAACAATCTCATGCAAATCACTCTTTGTTTATTTATAGAAACAAAGAATTCTTTGTTGCAGCTTTGATCTATGTTGATGATGTGATCATTGTTGGCAATGATCCTAAGAAAATTGAACACACAAAATCCAGTCTCAATGATCGGTTTAGTATTAAAGATCTTGGCAGACTAACCTATTTCTTGGGTATTGAAGTATCACGTACAAAAGAGGGTCTTGTTCTTAGTCAACGAAAATATACTCTTGACATACTTGATGATGCAGGTATGCTTGGGTGTCGGCCTAGTAAATTTCCCATGGAACAAAATTTAAAGCTAGACAAAGGCGATAAGGAAGAAAAGGTGGATGCCAGTTTGTACCGACGTTTGATTGGAAGATTGTTATATTTGCAAGCTACTAGGCCAGATATTACTTAGTCGGTAAATATCTTAAGTCAATTTGTGTCAGATCCTCGTCAAAGCCATTGGAATGCAGCGCTGATAGTTTTACGGTATCTAAAGGGAACTCTAGGACAAGGGATTTTGCTACCAAAAGAAGGCACACCTGAGCTGTTAGCCTATAGTGACTCTGATTGGCTAGGGTGTCCCATTTCTCGACGTTCAAGAACCGGCTACTTATTACTTTTGGGTGGTGCCCCTGTCTCTTGGAAATCGAAGAAACAGTCAGTTGTATCTCGATCTTCGGCTGAGGCCGAGTACAGGGCCATGGCGACTACTGTTAGTGAAGTTCTTTGGGTTAGATGGTTACTCTCTGAACTTGGGGTTCAAATTACCTTGCCTACTCCTCTCATGTGTGATAACGAGTCTGCGCGTCATATTGCACATAATCCAGTTTTTCACGAGCGTACTAAACATGTCGAGATGGATTGTTTCTTTGTCAGGGAAAGAGTTGAGTCCAAAGAAATTACTCCGGTTCGTGTTTCTTCACAAGCTCAGCTAGTCGATTTACTTACTAAACCTCTTGGTTCAGACAAGCTACAAACGCTATTGGTCAAGTTGAACATTCGTAATCTCCATGTGTCAACTTGAGGGGGAGTAAAGGGATTGATTTATTTTGGTGCTTATCTGAAGCCTGTCATTATCTTTATTAGTTATTATCTTTGTTTAGATAGTTATCCCGTATTATTTGTTTTGGTAGTTAGCGTTGTTTCAGCACTATTTATTTTGTGTTTCCCTTGCCTTTGTAATATGATTTTTCCGATCATAATGAAATAAAGTCATAAGCAACCTTTACTCTCACCAAATTCTTCAAAAAGAAGCTTAGAAAAACATGTCACTTGAGAACATTTGCAAGGGAAATTAGATAGGTGGTCTAATCATTATAAATCGAAAGGAAAACGTACCCCAAAACGGAACTAGAAAAAGAAAGGAATAAAGATCCAAAAAAGGAGAAAGGAGTTTCATTATAATAATAAAAAACGATAATAATGACTTTTCACATATTGCGCATTCTTTGTGGCCGGCTAGACCCGGACCCGGACCCAACATTTGTTTCTGTCCGCGCCCGCTTCCTTTGCTTGGTGTGTGCGGTTATCATCTCCAGCAACTGTCTCGCCTTTTTCTTCCCTCTATCAGAACCATAATCTTTCAGATTCACTAAATACCGTTCTACTCCAAATTTTTTTGCATCGTCTAGATGCTTTGGATGTTTAGAACAAACCTGCAGCAAAACTGATGCTGCATTCTCTTGGTTCAAGGGGGATCCAGTCCATACAACATTTACCAGGTCATAAACCGGGTCTTCTGCATCTAAAACATCTGCGGCATCATGGTGTCCCTTTATCATGTCTAAAAGAACGAGAGCTTCATCCTTCATACGCCCTTGTGGCTCTCTAAGATGAATCATGAGTTCCGTAACAATGCCGTCTCTCAAAGCCTTAGCTATGTTACTCTTATACAAGAACAAGTTATACAGCGCATTTGAGGCGTCCTTTTGACCCCTTTCAGTCCCATTACCCAACAGCCATACAAGAGGTTTTATTCCTCCCAACGAACCAATAAGAAACCTCCTATCATCGTTCACAGCAAGGCTGAAAAGGATCGCTGCACCATGTTCACAACTTTCGACTGAACCGCTCTTCATGACCTCAATTATAATGGGGATTCCCTCATTAGAAACTATACACCTTTTGTTTGCATCACAGAGGGAGAGGTTAAGAAGAGCTATCAATGCGTATTCTTGCGTGAGTGGATCCCTTATTTTCTTCTCCAGAAGTTCCAAGAGTAATGGGATTGCACCAGCCTCGGCAATGGCTGCACGGATCTCAGAATTTCTTCTTGATAGAAGGGAAATCTCACCAGCACCAGTACGTTGTTGATGCAGACCGTTGGATTTAAGCTGCTGGATGTATTTGTATAGCAAAACATAGTCCATAGGAGTGCGAGAAATGGGAGGAATCACTCCATTTCGTGATTTTATCCCATTTGTCTCACGCCATTGGGTTATAAGGCTACGTAATGCAAAGTTGGGTATCAGAGTTTGGTTTGTCAAGATCTGCTTCGTCGTAGGACAAAATTCATTCCCAGCATGCATCCATGTTTCAATCGAGGTTCGATCAAAAGTCTACAAGATTAGAAAGGGTACTTCCTTGTTAGAATAATGCAACAGATAATTTATTATCTAATTTATTAACAGTCACTATTTTGTTTCCTTTTTCTTTTCTTTTTGGGCTTTAGCTTCTTGCTGGCCCTTCAAAACAAAAAATGAGAAATTAAACATCCTCCTACTTTTATTCCTACTTATATCCTTCTACCTATGTAAAATAATGACAAATCTTTTAAAATGTTATTAATTTTATCAAAATATGATACTTGTCACAATTTCACATGAGTAAGAGGTTAAGCAGAAAGAAATATAGGAGGCTATTTAATTTCTCAAAAAAAAAAAAGGTGTTCAAAATGAGATGAGGATAATACATGCAAATGACAGGACAATAGAAGGGCTTGTGGTGCATTCTCGGTTTAATTTTTCTAACCAGCTGGTGTTTAGAAGTTTTTTATTTAATGAACGGCAAGTCACACTAAGATTAAAACTTGTGGGATCCGTACATGTGGCGAATGGCAGTTCCTTTTCGAGTGGATTTGACCTACCTCCACAGGCAGGTTCGGGCAGGAACCTGATATATCTTCTATCATTAACTGTTTTAAGTGATACATTGGAAACCCTAGCAAAGTGCTTAATTCCCAAGTGATCAACCCTAGACCAACTTTTAATGATGATATGTATTTAAAAGTTTTAATATAAAATCATAACTTGAAGTAGCTCCATTAAGAAAATTATAACTAATTAACTATCTATATGTACTTTGCAATAAATTTTATCGCTTCCCTATATAATGACTACTCAAAACATCTACATTCTTATAAAAGCTAATGTTTTAATTACCTGCCCGGATGCAATAATAACAGGATCCTGCATCAACTGAAGCGATATCGGACATAGGAATTCGTTGGGTGTAGCTTTATTATCGTAATTTGTCTCAATTATTCCTTGTCGCGCAGAAATATCAACAAGAGGACTTTCACTTAAAGATTTATCCAAACTTTGATTCCCACCTTGCACAAAATCTTTGACGAGTTTTAGTACCATTAACAATTTTTCTATTTTTTCTATTTTCTCCGGTGGATCTCCCCCAGAGTTGGTAACCATTTCATTTAGTGCTTGTGATTCAATTTCAATGTAGACGGCATCATGTTGGTTGGTGGAGAAAATTGGTGGAGGAAAAGGTGGTCAAAGAAGATGGCCATAGAATTGGTGAACGTCAATTTCCAACAATTGTTTAACATTTGTGTGCTCTTATTTTTCTCTTATTTTATTGGCGTAAAGCAATATATATAATAATATATATTTGGAAGTTTATGCACATATACAGCTATATATATGTGTGTTGTGTAGCAGAGAAAGTATGCATCAAATATAACTTGTAGAGTTATAAATTGTAATCTTATTGAGTTAATAAGAAAATCTAGTTGCAGCCCGTGGACGTAGGATTTACACCGAATCCGAACCACGTAATATTCTTGTGTTCTTCTTGCTTTATTTTCTCGTTTCGTTTGTGAGTGTGTGATAGTGTGTTTCCGCTGCGTGTACCCGGTCCGATTCCTAACAACTGGTATCAGAGCCTGGTTAGCGAGGTTTTGGAGGGTACGATCGTTTTTCTGTCACACACGAGTGTACCTTATTTTTTTTGTTTGCCGTAATGGCTGAAGACAAGGTTATAATCGAAAGGTTCAATGGTTCTGATTTTAGCTGGTGGAAAATGCAATTAGAAGCATTGCTATGTCAGAAAGACTTGGACGTGGTACTCGGAGACAAACCGGAGAAAATGGAAAAAGCTGTTGAAGATGCGTGGAACTCAAAGGACAAGAAAGCCAAGGCGGTTATTACATTGTCGTTGACGAAGAGCGTTGCTTTCAACATCATGAATGAAACCACGGCGCGTGGTATGATGGAGGCTCTGTCAAATATGTATGAGAAACCATCGGCGGCTAACAAGGTGTTCTTGATGAAGGAGTTGTTCACTACAAGGATGAATGAGGAAGGCTCAGTTACGGTTCACATTAACAATCTAAATTTAATTCTGTCCAGATTATCATCTGTGGGAATTAAATTTGATAATGAGACTCAAGCTTCGCTGCTACTAGCTTCTCTACCTGATAGCTGGTCCGGAACAGTTACTGATGTTACAAGTTCCGTGGGGACCAGTGGTATGACTTTTGAAGGGGTTAGAGATTTGGTTCTAGGCGAGGATATCAGACGCAAGAATCAAGGTGGATCTTCCTCTTCTGATTTATTAAATGTTGGAAGAGGTAGAGGGAATAGCAGGAATAGTGGGAGCAGTGGGAGTCGGGGAAAAAGTTCTTCTAGAACTTTGAAGAATGTGAAATGTTGGAACTGTCAAGAAGTGGGACATGTTAAGAGTCAATGTCCAAAGAAAGAATTGAACATTGCTGATGCTGAGAATTTTTCTGGGGATGATGCATTGTTACTCAGTATGGAAAGTTCTGTAGACTCTTGGGTCATGGATTCAGGGGCTTCGTTTCACGCCATGGACAACGGGGAAACAATGGTGAATCTAAAAGAAGGAGATTTTGGGAAGGTACAGTTGGCAAATGACGAGATGCTTCAAGTAACGGGCATAGGAGATATTGATCTGGTTACTTCATTGGGAACTACATGGAACCTGAAGAATGTCAGGGTGATTCCGGAGCTGAAAAAGAAATTGATTTCTGTTGGTCAGCTGGATAAACAAGGACTGGAAGTAAGGTTTGGTGGTGGTAAATGGAGGGTGGTCAATGGTAATTTGGTGATTGCTCATGGTATGAAGTGTGGGTCATTGTATATGGTTGAGGTACCTGCTGAGGGAAGTATGACCGTCGCGGTTAAGAATGACAAAATCTAGTTCGCTAAATCTGGTGCTAAGAGAGTTCATTTTGCAAACATGAACTCTGGAGCCAAAGAGATGTTAGCTGAACGAGTTCGAAAGTCTAAACCATTCAGGGGATTTGGTGACAATGGGAGCACGGGACGTGTTTCGGGTAAAGTTACAAAGAGTCGTTGGGTTTTGAAGACTAAGACTGAAAAATTCTCTCATGTTGGATGTTTGCTATGTTTGGAGAGTGTTAGTGGTCCTCGGTGTATCTCTGGATTTGGTGGAGTGTCCAAACCGGTTGAGACAGAGGATGAGTCGGTGGTGGGATTAGCCACGGCTGAGTTGGAGCTAGTGGGAACTTCAACTGGCCCTTCTAGATGATGATGAGGGGCGGCTGCAATTAGAAAAATTGGACTAAGTTTAGCTTGTTCTTGGGAACTGGAGGCTTGGAAGACTTGGTTGTTTTAAGATTACTGGAGAATTATTGGGTTATTTTCTCCAAGTGGGAGATTGTTGGTTGGTGGAGAAAATTGGTGGAGGAAAAGGTGGTCAAAGAAGATGGCCATAGAATTGGTGAACGTCAATTTCCAACAATTGTTTAACATTTGTGTGCTCTTATTTTTCTCTTATTTTATTGGCGTAAAGCAATATATATAATAATATATATTTGGAAGTTTATGCACATATACAGCTATATATATGTGTGTTGTGTAGCAGAGAAAGTGTGCATCAAATATAACTTGTAGAGTTATAAATTGTAATCTTATTGAGTTAATAAGAAAATCTAGTTGCAGCCCGTGGACGTAGGATTTACACCGAATCCGAACCACGTAATATTCTTGTGTTCTTCTTGCTTTATTTTCTCGTTTTGTTTGTGAGTGTGTGATAGTGTGTTTCCGCTGCGTGTACCCGGTCCGATTCCTAACACATCATTTAGTTCTAAGGTTTCAACTAATCCCCTCAAGATCACATGATCAAACAGAACATCAGTGCCCTTGTCATAAAGGATGAAAAGATCTTCATACAGCTGTTTATCAGGTTGATCAATTTTACCTTTGGCTCTTTGGAACTGAGAAAGGACAACACCAGCCTGGATGGGAAACATACTCAATATTAAAGCCTTAGTTAATTAACAAGATCAACAAAACAATCTGTATACAATCGATCGCTACTTCTGTAACTTTGTAAAATACAACAGATTTAAAGATGTAGATAGAAAACTCTTACACATTCTTTAAAATCATACGAGATATCATGATCCTGATCATAATAAATTCTACGCAAATCTTTTTCCAACAGAGCTGTAACCACCTTGTATTCTCTCATGATTTGGTTCCTCTCCAGAACCTGCTTGTAAAATCAAAAATATAAATGCTGAAGAAAGTTCTGAACACAAACATTTTCGGCATGTATAAATATCAATGCATAGTATTCAGGTATTTTTATTTTATAAAACTTGCAGATATGTTTGGCGAAACTATAACAAAACTAACCCCAATCTTTACTAAAGCCTAGTTCAAGTGTTTAGTTTAATAGTAAGAAATAACAATAATTTACATTATTTTAGGCATAAATCACACAATCAAAACAAAATATATCTAAATTTATTATTAAAACCATAGTTTTAGCTTGTGTTTACTTCTCTGTAATGTCTTTCCAATAGTTTGTTTTTAATTAGTACCAATCATGTCCTTTAAAACAAGCTATCAAAACCCTAGATCATATATATGCCAAGATTTCTCACTAAAGTTTCCCTATTTTGAGTCTAGCTTCATGCTAGGGTGGTATAAAAATTTGTAGTTCCAAAAAAAAAAAAAAATACCAGGTTTCTATTTAGACTATGTTCTTTACTTAGAATGAAATAAGATTAATTTATGATTTCATCAATTAGCAAAACTCTAATATAAATATAAGACTTAAATAGATTACAAAATCAATGATTTTTATTATTCTTTTTATTAGTTTAGAAACAAATTAGAAAAGTAAAGTCACATAAATCTTTTGATATTATTATAGAACAAGATACAATCAACAACCAAAGTTCCAAATTATCAATTTTAGGCATGATTGAAAAAAAAAAACCCAATAGAAAACAACAAAAATTAACGAGTAGATCTGACAGGAATATACCAAATAGATCTTGCTGCCTTTACTTCCCCGTAGAAGCAACTTCCTTGTTGCTTCCAAGTTATAAAATAGTGAAATCACGGCATAATACAAACTATCATGAACTCCGTGAGTTAGATCTCGTATTTCTTCAAAAAAAATGAATTAAAATCTTTAAACTCCGAGCAAGACTAAAGAAAGGTTTTCTTACAGTAAATATGTAATCTGAGATTTCTGATATCTCATTCAACTTGTTATTTACATCCTGCATCGACCTGCTAATACATCCATCCCCCATTTCTAGAAAATCAGTGAAAGTAAACAATTTTTTTGCAACCAAAGATAAATTTCAAAAGCTTTCTAACAAAATTGAAGAAAGAAAATGGAATCACAATCCACTAGAAACTTGGGAAGGTGTGAGAAGAGTGCAAACTGCAAACATTGATGAACTGAGTTTGGATTTGGGTTTGGGTTTTGATGATTTTTTGACCTTTAATGTGGTCTTGGTTTGTTATAAGTTTTGGCCTTTTGCTATTTCTTAGTTGGCACTAAGTGTGTAATGAGCTTTTCAGTTTTGTTTTTTAGTTACTAATTATAACTTGTTTTTTAGTTACTAATTATGACACAGGTCAAAAAAAGTGGATTTGATGTGATATTTATTGTAAGGTCCATTTTACAAATTTACTATTGATAAAATAAAGTTTTTCTGTTTAAACTTTTCTTTCTTTCCATTTTATAAAAAAGTTGTATTTATTTTTTTTTAACTTAAATATACTACAAATTAAATATCTTTCTATATCTGTTGATACTCTTCCTCTTATCTATGTTAAATGGTGATATGTGTCACATTTAATGAAAGTAATAATAATTTAATACATTAGTCACCATTTAAAATAGATAGAGGATAAATAAAATGAAAATATAGAAAAATATTAATTTCTCTAAACATAATATTTTCTTTCTTTCTCTTTATTCTAAACTAGTAGTCGCATAAATTATTTTCTTTCTTTCTCTTTCTTCTATTAAGATCACATAATTGTAGTAAGCAACAATCATTTATTGAAAAAGTCAATATAAACGTATGTTAAAATTTTAAAAATTCAACCATATCATAATATATGATAAGTATTATAAAATCTTGAAAACAGTTGATGTAAAATTTGCAAGAATTAAAAATTTTACAATTTGAAAAAATCAAGTTCATA